ATATGTGTCTGTGTTTGTGGGGAACGTTTGAAGCTGTCGGAGCAGTGCTCACTGAAGCCTTTTATTCAAGCTCACATGATCCTTTCCACTTCTCGAACATTCACTTCCCACCTCTGTGCTTCATCCTTTAGCTCATTCCCGAATCCTTGCTATAACCTAAAACCACTATTTTACTTTTACTTTCTGTTCTCTCATCTCTGCTCTTAAACATTACATCGTTTGGCTTAAAATAATCATTTTATCTTAGCTTTTCTCTTTTGTTTGACTTTTAACAGCCTTTCACAAACAAAAACGTTAGAATTTAGAAGAAGATCCACTGAAATCTGCAGCGCTGCCTTCAAAGACAGACAAATGTATTCAGGCAAAATGAGCCACAGTCAGGTGAGGCATCTCCCGTTCTCTCCGTTATTCATATATTTACACAGTTTAGACTGAAGAATCATTAAATGAAGAATGTCACATACCACCTTAAGCCGACTATAATGCAACAAAACAGTGTCTTCAGTCAGAGGAGAACCTGTAACATCAATAAACATCTAAGGCATGAGTCGCCAACCTAAAATGTTCAAAGAGCCATACTTACATACAAAAAAAAAAAAAACATGAATCTGTGTGAAGCCGCAAAAAAGTAAAAGCCTCATATAAGCCTCGTAGGGCAACACGGGCTCTAAGCCGATTAGCCCACTATAGAAAAGGACTATGTGGGCTTAATAAGAGACACACTTGATATTATCAGTGTTCTGATGGCATTTTAGCGAAAGAATTTTTATCAAAAACATAATTAATTTGCACAAATAAGGAATAGTTGCATAAACCATACATGTAAAGAGAGTTTGATGGGGCCCCCAGGAAATGTGGGGCCCTAGGCAACTGCCTAATGGTAAATCCCCCCAGATAAGCATTCATGATTAAATGTGTGAGGATAATTATCATTCAGGATGTGTGAGTTTTCTACACCATGATATTACTTGCCTGTTGTGTGTCTCATGTTTTCCCAAGTATTTTATCTAATTAGGACAGTTCCTCTGTCGGGATCTACAGTTATAAGGTGTGTTCGAGTCGTAGGGAAACGAATTTTAAATCGAGTGGAGAGTGGAGTTGTATAAAATGCTTGTCTAACTGTTTATTGTGGCCACTTCACGAGATGTGAGTCCGGTTGGTAATCGGCTGCCTTCTGTAACTCTAACAACTTCTCTGATCTGAGTAAGATTACAATTTCTATCAAAATCTGCTGTCATGCCTCCAGGTTGTTCAATACATAAAAATTCTGAATTGTTATTTAAAGAGTTTGTCTCGAGTGATCTCTTCTCAGGAAAAGAACCGGAGTGAGAAAGCTTCAAGGTGGAAACACAGAGCTTTCCTTAATGTTAACCCTTTAGCAAATGTCACAACATGTGACTGCTGTCTGATATTTGGTGCTTTAAGTTTTAATCCCATTACTTTATTAATGTCCAGTATTAGGTTTTATTGATGAAATTGTAGAAACACAATAAAGAAATCAGATTTTTGTTGTTATTTTTATTTTGAGGATTTGGAAAAAAATGGCAGAAAGTTCCCATCCCCCCATCAGAGCGCTACCTGTTGGATCTATGAATGGTTTTCTATGCTTGCAGCCAAACTAGCAGCAGCAGTAGTTTGGAGATGCAATCTACTTCTTAAATCTATCTTTACTCTCCTCTAATTTACCTAAGTTCTGCAATCAGACTTTTTCTCCCTCCCAACTTGTTGATCAGCTGCATATTTAGCAGCCTTCCCTGGAAATGTCTTTCCAAATAACTTTTTATTTTTTGACAAACTTCTCATTCCAAAGCAAACATGCAGGCAATCCTTCCTCATTGGTAATGAAAGCAAATGATTTGCTCCATTCTTCTTTGAATCCTCTGTTCTCATTAAGTATATTCATAGGCGGATCTACTGGGGTGGCATAGGGTGGCAACTGCCACCCTAAATGACAGCCTTGCCACCCC